GCCTTCCTCTCCATCGGGGCAGATGGTGCCGGCAGTCAGCAAGTCCAACGTGACTCCAGCAATCAATGACCAGGGCACGGGTCTGGGGAGACAGACCTCACCCCGGGGGGGGGAGGACACAGGATAAGCAGTTTTCTCTCCAGCTCAGCGTCGTTCTGGCATTAAGAGGTAGTTGGGCAGGATGAGGAGGAGGGCAACAGAGACACAGCAAGGCTGCCTCGTGCTCCGGAGTCTGAGGCTGGGTTCTCAGTGGGCTAGCGTGGGGTCTGGCTTTTCACCTCCTGTGTGCTACATGTGACCCAGGCAAACAGAAACAAGAGGCGAGTGGAAAGGATCCTGAAATGACCAGAGACGGTCTGCCAGAATCTACCTGTGAGGTACAGTGGAGGGAGTCATAGTTGAATCGTGATGCGAAGAGTTACCATTATGAACAGAACGAAGCGTGGATGCAGTGTTTGGGGAGCGCATGGCTTATGGCTCAGGAAGACACTCACAAGGCCCTTCGTGGGTCCTCTACACCAGTGCTATCTCCCTTCACCCTGTCCCCCTGTGCAAGCTGAAGGCTCGCACACACTGCCGCTCCTGATTCTGGGAACTGGCGAGTTTCTTCTCTCTATCCAGAGTACCCTGATAAACTCCTAGGAATCCTTTAAGCACCGAATCAAACATTTCTTCTTTTGCAGATGATTCCTCCCATTTACTCCCGCCCTTGCTCAGGGTCTCCTTGCTGGTCCAGTGTAACATATGCCCAACTCTGTCACAGTCCTTGTGGAATTGTGCCCGGTGCATTTGAATACTTGTCCATCTTCCCCTAAAACTCGGAGGTCCTCAACGACAGGACGCTGTCCCATTCACCCACACATCCCTGCAGGGGCCCCATATGTAGATTTTAAGTAAATACTGATTGGATAACATAAGATCTAGGCACATGAGTGAATGCATGCATTAATGAGAAAGGGCAGCATGTGCTACAGAATTAGAAACCGGGACTTCTGCCTTCTAGTTTTGTTCACTACAGAATTTTGCTTCTATTGTTTTTAACATTTATTGTTTCCAAATGTATACAGTGAACTTTTTGGCACACCTCTATATACTTGAACAGATATATAGATTTCTATGACCACCACCACAATCAGATTGCAGAACAGCGGCGCCATGTTAAAATAAATTTTCTCAAATAATTCCCCACCCTGAGAAGCATGAACACACTCTTTGTCTCTACAGACCCTCTTTCCCATAAGATCGTATTAATGCAACTATGCGACCTGGAAGCTTTGGAGAGGACCTCATTTCACTAAGCATCCCGCCTTTGAAGTTTATCTGTGCTGTTGCGAATACAACACTCCCAAGTAACAGCATCGTTCACGTTCACAGAGGAACCATGGCTGGTGAATCAATTCATCACGAAAGGACAGTTAGGCTCTTTCCAGCTTCTGGTGATCATTAATACATTTGTTACAGATGTCTGCATACAGGCTTTCCTCAGGAAGATGTGCTTTCATTTCTCAAGGATAAATACGTAGGAATGGGACAGACAAACTTCTCAGTGTAAGTAGTCATGAGAAATTATCATTTTTTTTCCTTAGATGGTAACGTTTTGCATTCCCACCAACAGTGTATGAGAGTTTTATTTGCTTCATACCTTTGCCAGCTCTTGGTGCTGCCAGTTTTGATTATTTCAGTGATTCAGACTGGTATGCAGTGATACATCACATGGTTTTAATTTACGTTTCCCTCCAGTTTAGGGATGTTCAGCAGTGTTTCATGCTGTTGTCTGTCATTCTATATCTTCTTTGCCAAATGAGCTCTTCAAACATTTCCCCATTTCTAAGAAACGGTTTGTTATTGCCATATTTTGAGAGTTTTGTTAATATGTTCTGGCTACCAGTTCTTTGATGAGTGTACCCTTTGAAACAATTTCTTCCAAAAGTTTTAATGGTTAATTTGTAAGAGCAAATGATATTTTTAAACAATGTCTCCATTACTTATTTTATCTATTTTACTCTTGGCATCATATCTATATCTATACTGATCTCTTTGTCAGTCAAAGTTCATGAGGCCTTTCTCCTATGTTTTCTTCTAAAATTTTAAGCAATTTATGTGTTACATTCACATCTGTGACCTACTTTGAATTAAACTCGAGTAACGTCTGAATCACGGGTTGAAGTTAAGTTTTCCCCACTTGTACCAACACCCTTTATTGAAAATGATGTCCTCTCTCTATTGACTTTGTTATATATTCTGCCACAGTGCTCGACTGTCTTATTAGTTCTACAAGGTTTTTGTGTAGACTCCATGGATGTCCTACATGGATGATTGTGTCAATGAAAACAATTTTTTTTCTTTGCCAATCTGTATCAATTCTACTTCATTTTTCTTGCCTTTCTGCAGTGTCTAGACTTTAAGCATGATAAGGACAGGAATGCTAAGAGTGACTGCCTCTGCCTTTTCCTCCTTTCAGTGCCTTATCATGCATTATGATATTTACCATAATTCTAGCCTTTGTAGATGTCCTTTTATCAGGAGAAGTTCTCTTTTATTCCCAGTTTGTTAAGAAGCTTTTGCCCTACTTTTTCCCTATCACCAACTAGATGTGTGAATTTAGGCGAATTTGAATTTAACCTATAATGTCAGAAAAAAGAGATGAATGCATAATGTACAGTGTGCTTTTCTGTGTCCATCAGAGGTCGGAGGTGTTATGGATATCTGAAAACTGGGGTATAAGGAAGCGTTCACTCAGTATATTCAAGAAAGGGATCTCGTGCATTTGATAGGGGTTTTTAAAATAAAATAACCCCCCAATACTGCAGTTTTTCTGGGTGTACTTTCCAAACAAAGCTGGCTTACAACCAATTCAGCAGGCTAAGAGAATATTCTAACTACTGAAAAATAGATTTTAAAAGCCGAGAGAATGTAACAGAACCAATATACTCTATCCCTTAACCTAAATAGAGCACGTGATATTTATTCCTGTTATATTTCTGCTCGCTTTTTTGAATTCTTGAATTCTAAAACTAGACCAGAGAGTATTTTATATGTTCTGCCTTTTCAATCTCATAAAATTTCACATCGGTCTTACACCATACCATAGGCCTTATGCTAATTTTGACTAGAATTCTCAAACATTCAGAATATAAAGTTAAGCTTAATGTAATGGATTGCTGTGACAAACAGATAGGCTGCCCACAGTAGGCAAGGGTACACTTTAGGCCTCCCGGACCTACAGAGGTTTAGAGAAGGCCTCCCTACCCCAGGCAGGACGTCAGACCACCCTATGAAGTTACTCAACTACTGTGACCGCCATGCATCACATGCCTGGCTTTAAATGCCTGTTGGAGGAAATAGCCAACCCAAGGTGGCTTCTTGTCGCTTTCTAAGGCCACTTTTCTCCAGTAGTCCTGCTCGGCTCCTCCAAACGCTGACTGCTCCCTCCTCCTCTTAGCTCCCTTCTCAGCACCAAGTGTTCCTGCCCAGTGACTGCATAGGTGAGGCTAGTTACCCCCTTACATCTCAAATAGCTCTTCTGTTAAAGGGATAGATTTAAAAAGAGTGAGTGTCATACTTGCCTGCCTTGGAGATTAAACTTATTCAAGGGATAAATGAGAAAGAAAGAGAAAGAAGAGAGAAATGGAAGGAAGGAAGGTAGGAAGGAGAGGGGAGGGGAGGGAAATAAGGGAAGGGTAGGAGGAAGGGAGGAAGAGGGAGACAGGTAGCGCCAGATATATAGTAACGACTGCTAATTTCTGCTTAACTCTTAAAAAAAAAACTAATGTGAATAAAACATAATCCCTGAAATGTGTGCTCCTGGCCTGCATCTGTGGTTAGCTTCACACAGGCTTCTCTTGTAGAAAGCAGGTGCAGTTTTACATCATCATTCCGAATGACTGGGCATCTCCAAAAGCCAGGTCAAAAGCAGATTCAAGATTCATACATTTCATCCTTTCTATAACCGCTCACTTCTATGATTAGCACAGGGCCTGTGAGGTGACCAGGGCAAGGAGAGCATTTTCAGATCGCAGAGGAGAAAGTTACAGCCCGCAGAGGTTCGAGTCCTGTTCCTGGACTTATTGCCAGAGGGAGGCAGAGCCCCCGACTCACACACACAGGCAGGGGCTTGTCATGCTGCACTTCTAAGCCACCCTTATCATTTGGCTCCATTTTCAATCCAGGAGATACTAATTAACATTTTCAAATGTTGCTTAAGTTGATTTCTTTTTCCTGCTAGCAGAGACCCCGCAAATACAATCAATTCTGGGAAGAGATGAATGTTTAAATTGGTTCAGAATGATGATTCTTCAGTTGAATTCTTATTGAGGTGTAAACAGCCACACACAGAGGGCTGCAAAGGAGGCTTATGTTTGAAATCTTAGGTTTCCACTACTGGATCACAGCCTTGTTTTGTTTGTTTGTTTGTTTGTTTGTTTCAGTGCTGGGATTGAACTTTGCAGTGGGTAAGCAAATGTTCTACCCGCTAGAGCTGCACCCTAGTCCTCTGAGTTCCCAGTTTTTAGGACAGTGGGCAGTGTAAGCCTTGCTCCTGGCTGTGGGTGGCACACAGTTAGGCACCTCTAATATCTGCCGCATGGATACACAGATACATTTACAAATAACTGCCCAGTAAGCTGGTAAGCTTGACCATACAAAGGTTCATATTTTAAAGCAAGCATCCCCTACAATTCACCATGTATATGCAAAACAGCACAGTGAGCTATGAATATCCCCATTCGAATTACACCGAAGAGGCCAAGGAAATTACTACGGGAGCCTCGAAATTCATCACATGAACTCACATCCCCAGGAAATTCATCCCTGAGGGTTTATTTCAGTGAAACGTCTCTCTTGGGACAGGAAGTCTCTTCCCCCACTCTGGGAAATAAGGATGGATATGGCAGTAATGGAGCTCAGGGTTTTTCATCTTCCCAAGCCATTAAAATGCAAATGTGGGGAGGAGAGAGAGAAGCAGGCAGATCCCTGGCCTGGTGGGCCGAAGGGGCACTCACATCCGTCCGCTGCGCGCACCTCCATGTGCACCAGGTCCACCTCCTTGTCCAGTCCAGCCACCGACCTGGGGAGGGAAGGAGACACAGGCTCAGTATGGATGGGGAGGGAGCGGCACCGCACGCAGCCACCTGGGCAGCGCTGCTTGCAGCTCCTTGGAACTCCTCTTTCTCCAACAGGACTGCCCTGCCCCGCACTGTGGGGACCACAGAAGACACTACTGTCTGCACTGCCCCCACCGGCAGGGTGGCTGGCCCTAGAAACTACCACCCACAAAGGCCCCAGCATGTAAGTCCAAAATGATGACAGTGAGTCAGGAACTCCAAAAAAAAAAAAAAAGAATGCAGGCTCCTTAGTAATGCTGATCTCTGCCTGCTTTTGTCCCTTCTTCTTCACAACCTTGCAGCTTCTAAGAGCTTCTCTCTTCTCCAAGGCCTTCTCTGTCTCTGCGGACTCCACACTATTGATTACTTCTACCCCTGGTCCCTCTATGCTCTCCTGTGGAGCCCTAACCCCTACCTCCCTGTTTGCTGCAGCATTTGTCCTCCTGACTTCTTTCCTCTTTCCTTGCAAACAAATTTGGGTAGCAAACATTCAAAACCTGATTTGACAAAGACGACATTCTCCTGGTAATTGGGTCGAAAAGGTCTCTGGCCAGTAGCTACAAGAAGGAAGGCTGAGGATCCCAAGACACAATCCTTACAGACCTCTCAGCTCCACAGGTAAACCTCACGTGGCCTTCCCCTGCCTCAAGCATCCAGCCAGCCAGTCAGACTCAGGACGCCAGCTCAAAGTGCCAACACACACATTAAAACGTGTGTGCACTACAGAGCACGTATGCAGTCCCTTCTCTCTGGTCAGCTCTCACTCAGAGTCTATTTTAAACGTCATCTTAAGACTGGTTTGCTGGTTTTCCAGCCTTTAGCTAGGTAAGACACAGCAAGTTAGGATGAAAAAGTAGATTCAACAGCTCATAACTACCCAGCAAGAGAAACAAGACAGGAAAAATAGCCCTAGAGATCGAAAACCCAATCTTCCACCCCAGGAATCCCTACACTTCACAAAGCCCTGGGGGATGTCCTGCACTGTACAACAGCTTAAGGTCTGTGTCCACGCTGAGGGGCTGAAGGGACAGGAAGGGGGAAGCAGGGGTGCAGGGCTGCCTAGCCTTCTCTGTCTAAGACACTGGGCCTGCGAGTGATGTATTTTAGAGAAAATAAAATCATATGTCTGTTAAAATGATTATGTCTTCAATTATCTAAGAAAGACGCTGAATAAATGAGCTTTAGTTTACATTCCCCAGTGGTCCCTGATACACTTTTTTTTAAAAAAAAAATCTCAGCAAAACCCTAAGGCAAGGAGGGTAGGCATCATTCATATCTGGCTGAAGGAGAAACTGAGGAATGGAGAATTTTGTGCTGTCCAAGGTCACACGGCATCTAGGCGAGGATGAGAACATCATGACTGCCCAGCTCGGTGCAGCTCTGAAGCCCTCATCTCTGCTCCGTTTTTCTCCAGCCAGCGCTCACCCCTCTGCCCACGGCCTCATCCCTTCATCAGTGCTTCCTTCCCTCCTCTCACTGAAGAGCCTTTCTCCACTCACAGCACCCTTGCCTATGTGGTCCTGCAAGGCAGCTCTTAAACTACGAGATATGCAGATGCCCAGGCCCCTCCTAGACCAATGGAGCTGGCATCGAAGAGGATGGGAGCAGGGCATCAGTATGTTTTAAGCTCCCAGCTGAGCAGCCCAATTTGAAAACTACTACTTTGTATGGATTAATCACGCCCCTTATGTAATCGCCAGTTCATTCCTGGGTCTTCCCTACTTAGATACAAATGGTAAGAAAGTAGGACCTTATCTTACTTTTGAACCCATGGCACTTCTGCTTCTAATGTATATCATGTGCTTCCTATGTGCTTATTGATGTAATAACCCAATCTACCTGTGGTGAGGTCAAATTTCAACATAAACTCACTCAGTGTCAGACACACAGATCACCAGGGGCACCAGAGGGCCTAAACTGACACCTCCCTGCTCAGCAGGCTGGTTTCTGAGCAAGACTGCACTGTCTGGATTAGCAGCTTCTCAGCTGTTCCTGCAACCTCTCTCCACCACCAGCAGCAGTGTAGGAGACACAACTGGAACTACAATGACCAAGCCTGACTATGGTCATCGGATGCGATGCTCTATTAATTTAACAAAGGAAGAAAGCCCTCAGTTCTCAGGAGCTGATAACAAGGCAAGCACACCAATAAAGCAGCTGAGAAACCATGCTCTTATCTAGGCGTGCTCATGCCCTTCCAACTATCTAAGGTCTAACATCTTCAAGGATGAAACCAAGAGTCAAGTCTCCCTGTGAGCCATCCCTGGTCACTGCAGCTCACAGTAAACTCTGCTTCACAGTTGGAGAGAACTCAGATTCCCCATCATACAATCACCAGCGTTTACATTTTGATTACGACGTTTCTTTCTCTTGAGTCAGTGTTGTCTCAGGGGCAACTGTGTTTTTACCCCACTCAGTGTCATTTTCTTCTATCCCATGTGATTCTGTTCTATGTGACTCAAGCCAGGTGTTTTTGGTGAGGCTGGCTGGTCAGTCACAGCTGCCCATCCCTCTGAATCCCCAGATGTCCTCTGCCTGGTATGGTCATGAGACATCCGAGCCTTGGTGATCAAGACATCCTGGGACAATTTCGAAGACCTTCTCAGTATTCTTCCAACTGGAGCTGGGAGGAAAGAATGATCTGTCTTTTGTCATGGGGAGAAATGTTCCCAGCCAAACAGGAAGGCTAAGTCTAAAATAATGTCATGGATATACAGGTACAGGAACCAAATAACTGACAGTGTAACAAAAACACAAGGAGAAAGAAAGCAACATGAAGACAGTGGTCAAGAAGGAGAAAAAACAGAGAAACAAACAGGCCAACCGGCAAACACAAGAAACAGAAACATACACAAAAATACAGAAAGAAGCAGACACGGTAACAGTACGTGTGCAACCTTGTACCTACACACAAACACACCACCGCCGAATCCAGAGATTCACACCAGCTGACAGACAGCCAGACAGGACTCCAGGTGCTCCTATGTGAATCCATCCATTTCCCGTCTTATTCTGGTTGCACAGCCTGCTCATGCAGCCAAGCCCATGGGGTGCCTGGGCATGTATTCATCCTCATACCCTATCAGCTACAAACAGAATGACTCCCATTAAGGCACAGCTATCAGACAGAAGCTTCCTAAGGGCAGGGACTAGAGTTGTCTTTGTCCCATATCTGCCACAGCTTATGGCTTAGGATTAGGCACCCTTCGGATGGCATGATAAGGATAAGAGAACTCAAAGCTGCTCTGTCCTTGGGGTGGTGTGGGAGGAGATTATGCTGGCAGAGGTAGAGAAAAGTCACTCGGAGTCCAGGAAAGGAGAATATTCTTTGCCGCACTTTGAGCTGCTTGCCCTCAGGCCCTCAACCAGCATGGAGAGGGGCCACTGCCCGCTTTCTGCAGCATTCACTTCGGCTTTCCTGCCATGAGCTCTGTGGACATTTTTGGCCACAGATGATTCTTAGCTATGGAAGATGGCCAATGCCCTGCAGAGTATTTAGTTAGCAGCAACCCCAGTTTCCTTGAGACAGTAACATCCTTGCAGTCATGACAATGAAAAATGTCTGTAGACATTTGTCCTATCTCCTGGCGAGGTAAAAAAGCAGTCCCGGTGGAGAGCCCTACCTGGACACACTCAGTCTGGCCTGGATGTGGTCTGTCCACGCTAACAGGGCAGCCAGAAACAGCACTCAGAAACTGCACTTCCTCCTAAGCACGAGCACTAGTGTGATGTGACAGAGGAGCCCACGAACTACTGCCGCTCTGGGCCTGTCTGACACTCATCACAGGGAAGCAATCTGATCCTTTCTCTTAAAGCCCCAACTCCCAGATTCTGGACATGTAACATAAAGAATGTGCTCACAAACACACCACACAAAGCAACACAAGATCTGGTGGGCTTCTGGGGGCTGGGGAGGGCAAAAGGGTAGAAATGTTGATAAATACTAATGGGTAGTGAGACCATCTTGTGTCCGACATAGCGCCTGGAATTCATTAGCATTATCTTAATTAATCTTCAAAGTAAGTATTTAGGAAGGTGCCATTCATCTGATTTTCCTCCTTGACAAAAATGAGGACAATAAGAGAGATTAAGTAATGCGCCCAAAGCCACACAATGACAACAATTCTCAGATATTGAGAGAATGCCAGTGTCAGGCACTATTTCACATTTAGACACTGACCTCATTTAATTCTTACGTCAACTCTGTCAGCTAGGAATCAATCTTTCCCCCTATTTTAAGAAGGCACAATCAGACAATGGAAGTTGAAACAACTTGTTCAAAGTCATACAGCTAGCAAGCAGGGAAACCAGGACTTGAACCAGGCAGGAGTTTAACTTCTGTAAACTGTCCCTCCTATGGTGGGGAAGAAGGGGATTCGAGCAGGACCAACTCCCGCTGAGTCAAGGATTCAACCAATGTGCCCCATTGCCTCCCCTCCACCCACACCTAAGTCCCTTTGGGCAGCACTGTAGAGAATAAATGTGCGTTTCTGCATACACGTCCAGTACAGCAGGGCATTTGGGTTGTAGAATACATAAGCCAGGGGTCACCCATGTGGGTGTTAATGGCTAAGGGACTGTTAGGGAAAAAAGGAGATTGGGCTGATGGTAGAAAAGCACTGAGAGTAGATTTTTCTTTCAAAGAAATATAGAACAGTTGAGGAAAAGAAATCTGGGGTGTGGGCTTGACTCTTGAGGTCTGTGAGTATGGGAGAAGCTGAGATGTATAAGAAGGGCTGACTTCCCCAAGGGGAAGGGGATGAAGACATCCCCACTTAGGTATGCTAAGCTTAGAAAACACCGCTGCCACCTCTTCCATCTGGAGCATCCAGGTTCCTTACCTTCCCTCAACTAAAGCTAGGCTGAGGTGGACCAGCTGGCCAGGGGCAGTATCCAGTGTACAACCAGCCATGGGACAGACAATGTTCCCTATGATTAGTGTCTGTAATAAAACAAAGTGAAT